TATCTCCTCTTAATGATTTTCCCCTCTCCCCTCTCTTCCTCCCTTCCCACTCCCTCCCTTTCCGTTCCCTCCCTCCAGCTCCCTTACTCTCCCTTGCTCTCCCTCCTTCTCTCTCTTCCCCTTTCCCTCTCTCCCTCCTTCCCTCCTTCCTTCCCTTCCCCTCCCTCTCCCCCTCTCTGTACATCTCCATCCACAATGACCTCTCCTGTAATTGCTTTCATCCCTTAATCTTAGAAATTAATTACTATTCTTAAATAATGCATTTATCCTGAACAGATAAAAACATTCAATTGTGACAGGATACCAAAGCAACTGTACACAAAGGTGAACAGGGGAAGAGTCATGTAAGACTTCTTAAAGACTGTGACATTTGAATGGCATCTGAAGGACGATTAGGACTAAAAACTGCTCACAGCTGATCCTCCAGCAAGTTTTCTGAGGCTGTAAATTGTATGTGAGGAGATTGTCCCCTCCCTCCCAAGGAGTAGCGGGTGGCTTTTGCCCAGCTCTTAACCAACCCGTTGCCATCAAGTCAACCCTGATGCCTAGCAACCCCCTCGAAGACAGAGAACACTTGTCCCTTGGACCTTTTCAAGCTGTTACCTTTTTTTTTAACTTTATTTTATTTTTGTTATTTGTGTGTGTGTGTGTGTGTGTGTGTGTGTGTGTACACCATGAAATCAGATCTGACTGGTACAGGAGGAGATTGCCCCTCCTTCTCCAGCAGAGCATCTGGTGGATTGGAACCTCATACCTCTGGGATTGCAGTGCAGCTGCTTGCCACTAGGCCACCAAAGCTCCCTACAAGCTGTTATCTTTAAGGAAGCAGACCGTCTCCTCAGTCTCCTGGGAACAGTTAAGGGATTCAAACCACTGACCTGTTGGTTATCAGTCCAGGGCTAGTCCACCATTCCCAAAAGGCTACGTTTGCCATCAAACTCATCTTCAAATTAATGAAATATAAACAGATGTTTAACTTACACTATAGAGCAATATAGGTCCTGTTAACACCCACGTCTAACAGATTTAAAGTGCTTGGGAATGTCCTTGAATATCAGAATTTCAAAGTTTGGGAACTCCAAGTTACTGTGTAACAGAATTCAGTGAGACATCTCAGTGAAAGTGGAAAGGTAAGGAATTTCTACTGATAGCTTTCAAAATTTTCCCCAATGTAAAAATTTGGTGGAAGGTCCTGTTTTATTACTTTAAAAGAGGTTTAAAATTCAGAATTCTGAAGTCTACTGTTGCTAAGATGGAATATTGTTATTATATATTGGTAATATTCATAGATTCAGTAACGTCTTTTAACTTTTATATTTTTTCCTTAGGTAAATAGAAACAATTTTAATATTAGTAACTGTTTTCCTATCTTTTCTGCCCCTTATCCTATTGCCTTCTAGTTTCCAGAAAAATTGTTTAATTGTGTATATGTGTGTGTGTGTGTGTATATATATATATATATATATATGTGTGTGTGTGTGTGTATATTTATATTTATATATATATTCTCATATATATCCTAATATTCTAGTTTAAATAAGTATATATACACTCGTGGTTGCTGTGATGCTGAACACTGTGACACTGATGCGTCAAATGTGACAATGTTTACCCATGGTGGACAGTGTTTAGTGGAACTCCCCGATTAGAACACGCTTAGAAGCAGAAGTAGCATCCACTTCAGAAACAGCTTGCCTCCAGAAACCCTATGAACCTTCATAGGGTCACTGTGAGTCGTCTATAACTTGACAGCACTTAACAGCAAAAACTTCTGAAAAAGTGTCATCTTCTGATTTACTTTGTCTTGCTTTTTCATTTTCTCATAAGAATTGGAGTTCTTTCCTCCTACCCCATCTGGGACTGTCTATTGAGACTGCAGTAAAAAGTGCTACAGTCTCCACCCCGTGGGAACTCCCCTGGTATCAGATGGAGACTGTAATGTGATTTAGGGTCTTGTGTCCCTCATTTGATGGTTTTCTAACTGCTTCACTTGTCAGATGATGGACAATCATCTCATACTTTCCATGCCATGCCATGTCCATGTTTTGGGCCCCGGGATCCCACTTCAATCCATGATACTATACTTTCCATTCTTACTAGGTCATTCAACAGTGGAGGTCACAGTAGACAGACCCAGACAGGAGGAAAGAACTCCAATTCTTATGAGAAAATAAAAAAGCAAGATGAAGTAGATCAGAAGACGACACTTTTAAACCCAGAATGTCCCTGTCCCCTCACATACCCTTTTAGCAAGGTGACAAAGTGGCACACAGGCACACAAAGGATGGTACCTGAAATATCATTGTTCTCCTTAAAAACAAAACAAAGCAAAAACCCTCACCATTGGACCAATAGGTGACATCATGATGAGTGGAGAAAGACTGAAGTTGCCAGTGGCTTCAATTTTACTTGGATCCACAACCAAAATCATGGTAGCAGCAGTTAAGAAATTAAAAGTCTTGTTGCTGTAGCAAGGAGTTGGAAACAACCTAAGTTCCCATCAACAAACGAATGGATAGAGAAGCTGTGGTATATTCACACAATGGAATACTACGCTGCATTGAAAAACAAGGAACTCATGCAATATTATTCAAAATGGGTGACTCTGGAGGACATTATGCTGCGTGAACTATCTCAGTCACAAAGGGACAAATATTGCATAGTGCCACTGTTGTAAAGCAGGACTGACATAGAGGTTGGGGGGAGACTGGGAGAGATGGGTTAAATGATGTAGACTGCATTGAAACAGATGAGGGAGAAAACTGTTTAAAAGGGATATGTGACTAGGTATTTTTGTCATGATGGGAGTCCAGAGCGAAGGCTGTATAGTCGAGTGGACCAGGGGGGAGGGATTGTAAAACAATGAAAGAATTTTTCTTTTACTTTTCCAAGAGGGGAGAGTATTGGGAGATATAGTTGGGATGGGAGAAAAGTGCAACAATGAATGAATGGAAATCCAAAGTCTCTGTAAATTTTCAATGAAATTAGTAATAATTTTTTTTTAAATAGTCTTGTTCCTTTGGGGAAAAACTGTCAAAGAGCTCTCCAAAGTGTTAAAGAGCAAGGATATTAAATTGGAGACTAAAGTGTGCCCAAGACACGTCATGATATTTTCCATTGCTTCCTGTGGTTCTGAACGCTGGACAGAGACAGTCATTATTGTTAAGTTGTTGCTGCCAAGTTGACTGCAACTTATAGTGCCTCTGTAAACAGCAGATCTAGGTCCTGCCCTGTCCTGTGCCACTCTCGTCATCTCTGTAGAGATATGTTTGCTTAGTCTTTTGACAGCCCATGAGATATTCAGCACTCTTCTCCAGCACCCTAACTCATCGTGACAGACAATGAATGAGGAGGACTGAAGAATCGATGCTGTTGAGTTGTGGTGTAAGGAAAGAGTGCTGAGTATCCCACGAATTGCCTTGAAAGAACAAGCGTGTCTGTCCTGGAGGATGTGTAACCAGGGAGCTCCTTGGAGACAGAGATGATGATGTCTCAGTTTGCTCACTTTGAGCCCGCTACCAGGAGCGCTAGTCCTTGGAAAAAAGACATCACCTTGGGAAAGATGGGTTGACACAAGACTAACAAGGGACCCAAGCCCAAAGAGGGTCATGCTGCATCGCAGATTAGAACTGGTGGTTCTGATCTCTCTGCCACAGGGTCTCTGAATGGCAGCCAAGTAACGGGCACCTCAGAGCAACTTGAAAAGCATCTGCATCACCATTAAGGCCCAATAATTATCAGAAGCAGAGATGAGAAATCAGGAATACGAAGGGTACTAGAAAGGTAAAAAACAAAGAGAATGTTGAACGAATGTCAGTGGACAGTGTGTTCTGTGTACAGGGTGGATGGAGGTAAATGCTAAATATACCCTGGCAATAACAAGTAGCAATTTTTCTGAACAAGGAATACAAGAAGCTTTCAATTGTGAAATAATACATTTTTACGCTCTTGTGAAAGTAAAGTGGTTATCTTGTAATATTGTTGTGTTGTTCTTTTAATATTACTGTTCTGACATTACTTTGTTCACTTATTCTTGGGAGATAAATTTGCATAATTCACTTGGAACCATTGCTATTTCTACCACACACACACACACACACCACCATCCCTGCCCCAACACACAATCCATGAATTACAGCCAGAACCTTTGCATCATAGGGTTTTATTTACTATTGTAATGATTATACTCCTTGGAATTCTTGCTAAATTTTTACTGGAAAAAATAGAGTAAAATTGGTTAGGGAAATTACTTCTAGACTTTCTGAAATTGCAGAGGATTAATGAGAAAACAAAGCAAATTTGATTTGCCATAGCAAAATAGCTCTCTTTTGAGAAAACTCCTATTCACCTCTTTCCCAAAGAGAATCCTACTTATTCTCAAGTAAAATCAGTGCTACTTTGACAGGGAAATGTTTATCCACACATAAATACCAGCTAAGAGTATGTTTCTAACATTACTGGAAGGAGACACGCTTTCCTCTTTACTTCTAAGGCGAGTTCACATTCCACTTCATTTGATTATTTTTTCGACAATATTTGTTGTCTTCTTTTATAGTCTGCCAGTGTGTTTTTGAAGCCTAGTTAGTTAGAACAGTGGCCAACAGAGCTGAAACTAAAAGGAGGCCAAATACCTCTTCAGAAGCAAGACATTACTTCAAAAGAGATATGCATTACAAAGCCCTACTGTGACTCACATAATCACTTGTTTTGAAGGGGGGTTTGCTAATGTGGATTTGGTTTCTTATCTTCACAGCCCCTAGTGAGCCTTTACTGTGCAAATTCGCTGATGGGGGACAAAAGAAGAGACAGAATCAAAGCAAATACACCCAGAATGGGAGGCCATGGCCAAGGGAAGGAGAGGTGAGTCTTGGATCTTTGAGCCAAAAGACGCTGGTTGAAATATCTACCTGCAAAGAATTGACCTGTAGTTATGCAGTGGTTTTATAATAAAGGTATAATTGCTCGAGAACATGTTTTAGTAAAATCAACAGTGAGCATTGAGTGTGTTCTGGAAAATGGAAACTAAAGTTTAGATCTTTTGCATTCCACCACTGAGATGATCTATATACTTG